CGGCACACTACACTATGTCACGGCACACTAGTGTGCCGCGGCACAGTGGTTGAAAAACACTGACTTGGACTGTTTGATGGACTCTGATACCTCTATTTCCACAAAAGTAAAAGCCTATTTAAACTGCAGTGTCTCTGCATGCTGGTTTGTGTGTTCTCCAACACAACTCTCACAACGCTTCGCTGAATGTACTTGCTCTCCCAACGGGGAGCTTACCTAACACATATGTTATTTGAACATACATATTTTGCGAAAAAGGTGCAGGATGGAGGGTATTGAAAAAGGGAAATATGAAAGAAACAGCTTCCAATTAGTTTGGAAACAGATTTTGCATAATCTTCTTTCATGTCATTGTTATTATTATTATTATTGGGGAAAAAATGAAGCCACAAGAATCCGTAATGTGATTAAATAAAAGTTTATTTCATGCTGCCTAAACAACTGTATACAGTGAGCCATCTAATCAGAAGTAAGAGAGACAACCTCCACATCAGTGAACCTGTTTGTAGGTCTTGAATAGAATCTAAAGCCAAAGGGTTCATAAATAATTTGTAATAAAAATATGAGTCAGGCAAGGAGCTAAAGCACAAAAAAGCTAGAGAGCTTAAACAGGCAATGGATCACTTAAGCAAATAGGAAACAAATTTAGATTTTAACATTAAACATCTGGCACCTCCAAAAGAGGCTTTCTCAAAGATGAAATATTTAAAAAACTGAAGCAAAGCTTGTGGCATCCCTGCAATAAGCTACAGTATATCCATTGGCTGTTTTGGCTCTCATTGAATAAAAGATCAACTCAAGCCCAAGTAATAGCTAAAGAGTAAACAAGCAGCACGTGTTCTTCAAGGGCTCTCAGGGCTCTTGCAAATGCCAGCTGCTTTGACTGACTTGTGGCTGGCCAGCTTCATTTCCTGCACTGGTTGAGTAAAAGGAGTCAGGAAACATGGTAGGATCCAAAGGCATGGGAGTGCTAGTTGCCTCTAAAGGGATGAAGCTATCAGGAGTTACTGGAGGCAAAGCGGTGGCTTGAGGCGCATTTGGCTGCCCTTTACTCTGACCAGCAGGGTTTAACACGTTGTTGTTGTTGGCATTGGGCAAGGCAACCCTTGGGTTGATATCTACAGGGATAACATTATTCCCTCTGTCCAGAGGATTGGGTCCTGGGTTGGCTCCTTTTGGAACTTCAGGCTGTTCTGTAATGCCCAGCTGATCATCTTCGACTGTGTAATCTCCTGGTTGGCCTCTGTTCAGTGGCATATTTCCAAATCTGGCATCAATGGGAAAGCCATGGGGGCCTGTTGCCTGATAGGCTGGTGCACCAAATCCTCCACCCTGGAAAAAACAATGACATTACATGAATGACTATGAACCCTCTGAAGATCCGGATGACAAACATATGGAGAGAGATGGTGATGTGAGTGGAAAGTGTTGGCTTTTGGCGCTTAGCAAGCTATCCTAAATGCAAACTTGAGGAATGAAAATCTAAACTGTTTTTTTATGCAGTGGGAAATGTCCCAGAAAATAAATACTGTGATGACACTGAAGCCTTAGAGGATAAATGACAGATGACATAGCTAGGGGGAGATGGATTGAAGTTGGGCCATCAATCAATTAAGAGCTGAGGTTTTTTGGGGGGCACACTGTAGTAGTAGTAGTAGTAGTAGTAGTAGTAGTAGTAGTAGTAGTAGTAGTAGTAGTAGTAGTTA